TCCACACTACACTGCATAAAGTCTAAATCTACTTTTACTCAGTCGCTATTGCGCTTTCTCTATCATTTACTTGCATCCTATACAGTTTGCTCGGAATTCATACATGTGCGTGTACCGAAATAAGATTTTTTTCTAAGACTTGTTCTTATCACCGTTGGTTCTACGCCATACATTAAAAGTTCATTTTTTGAAAGTATATTTCACTGCCCTCTCACGCCATACTCTAAATTTTCGATTTTATGATCGAGCATGTTCTAATATTTAATGCATTATTTTATAACATTGTTTGGATCGCTTCTACTGTAAATAAACAAGGTATTTTTAATCTTAAAAAAAAATAAATTGAAATGCAGCAGTAGATTTTCAATAAAATTAAGACGTTATTTATTGATTAAAATGTGACTGGACATTCCAATATTCAGGTGATTTATCGGATAGATGCGGGTAGAGCTGTAACTTTGTTCTCGTAACTATTCTTGAGCTGGTATAGTCACAGCTACGAACTCAAGAAAGAAAGAATCCCAAAGCTCGAAGCAGCTGTGAAAAAATGAATTATGGTTTTTCATAAAGATTTTTTCTCGCGCCTTTCTAGACTTCCCAGAGGGGTAAGAGTGTAAATGCGGCGGCAGGCAGCGATGACGACGACGAGGCAAGCTTCTTCCGAAAGAGCTGGAATCCCGACTTCGATCGTAAGGCGCGCGCCTACGAGAAGGGTCGACTGCGCAATATGTTTGCTCTGAGCCCGTGTTAATTTGATCTTAATGCCGAACACGATCAGACCCTTGTCTAACTCTCCTATCTGTTCTTCAACAATGTGGCGAAGGTAATCATTGGATCGATTTAATTTTAATATGAATATTTTTCACGCACCTCAATATGTTAACCGTTAGCAAGACCTTCTAAATATAATTAAAAGCTCATCAAATATTTAAGACCGTTATTGATAGTGAGCCACGTGTTTTTATGATATATTTGTGTTAAAATTTTTTTCGTACCAGTACCGAAATGTGCTTTTTAGTACACTAGTCATAATGCGGCAGAAAGTAGGAATCGTACTTTTTCATATGTTTAGCAGGAAATAATTTTATTTGAGTTTTTATTATGCATATATATCTCAAAACTCATAACATTGATCAGTGATCACACACAGTGTTAACTTATTTAACTTTGTTAGAAGGGTGCTATTTTTATTAGCATTAGGCTAGCAACCGCGCTGCTGTGGTAGCGAGCAGTGCTACAGATAATAGGTTTAGTTCTATACAGATTGTACACGAACAGACGCCCGCCTTTTATATTGCATCGTAAAAAAAGTAGTAAAAAACTGGGCGCGCGTGCACCAAGATCTCGGCGCAGCTAAGTGCGTACGGCGAATCCAGTATCATCAACCCCGCGCGACGCGTGTCTCAATTCGTTTCGCGCTTTTTTCACACCTTTCTATCATTGCGCACGATACAAATTTTATTGCTGGAAAGTAACAGTCACGGCAACTTGACTAGAAAATTTTCGAACGTCGTATTAAAATGGAGATTAGGGTACTTTAAATTAAAAAAATTTTTCTGTGAAGTTGAAAATTTTTATAAACATATGCTATACATATACGTGTACATTGAAATGGAAGTGGAGAGATTGAGAAAAATCAAATTATTCCCACTCTATCCTAAAATACGGAACTTTGCCGCTAATTTAAGGCTACGATAAAATTAGGAATATGGTTTTTTTAGCAAAAAAAGGAGGGATTATAGCACGAACCGAAGGGGAGTCAAAAAACCATATCTGCACCCTTTGAGAAATACACTATTTTTACGGTTGATAATCTGAGTCTTTAAAATTATTTAAAAAATTTGTAAAATAACTCTGACAAAAATAATATCTCTAATCATGGAATGGATAAATTTTCCAATCTTTCTGGCGAATAGATTACCGCAGATGGCAGAAGGTTGTAGGGTAAAACACGTGCCGCCATGTTATTATGATTCGCATCGAATGGTGAAATGCATACGAACAAAGGTTCCGCGACGGCAGTGTCGGTGCATTTTCTTCTACGCTTTGACGGCATGCTTTCCATACATTATTTAATATACAGTAATATATGAATCAATCAAAGCAACGATTTATTTAATGATGAAATAATGCACAGCATGGAATGGCCATTGCGCGAGTATCTCTATACAGTTCCATTACGAGTGGTCGTTTTTTCGTCGATTACGATTTGCTATTGCTTTCTACAATTGCCATAAATGCATGCTGTATACATGCCGATATATGTTTTATACATATAACTGCGGTGTCGGCTGGGATGAGAAAGGAAAGGTTAGTAAGCATGATTGCACCTGCGCATTGCTACGGTAATATTCAGTCTTATATTGCTGTGACTTTTTTATCCGATATCAATATTAATATATTATTTATATTTTATCAAACTTTTAAATAAGAGAAAAAAATTGATTTACTCGCAAAAATGATTGATTTTACTGTTTCATATGTATTTTTCAAATAAATAGCTCTTACAATTCGAGAGGTCTATCAGCTCATAATTTTTGTATATTGCACAAATTTAGAGTTTCGATCAAAAAATTCAAAGTGGAATGGAAATAGACAACAAATATTTATTATAATCTGCTTACTGCATTATTGTAGAACTGATAAGAATGGCTATTATTACGACAAATGAGTGTAGACAGGGGTGTTTTTTTATGACGACTCCCAGCGGAGGTTCAGTTTACAGTCGAGAGGTTAACGATCCGCGTCATGATGTAATTTCATGTGATTCTTGTAACGATTTAATTTATATTATTTTATTGATATATGTTTTTTTAGATATTTTAAATTATTATCAGAATTGAATTTTTTTTCAAATGTTACTTCACGGTTATTGTAATTTAACTAAATTGAGTGAGAACGCAAAGTTATGAAAAATTTGAAAAAAATTTGTCACGCAAAGTATACTTCAAAAGTTTTCATAAGCAGCTGCATAAGTCAATAAGTAACAATGATATTTGTTTATGATTTGTACATACAAAAATGCTAATGCACAATTTTAAATGATATTAATACGAATACCAGGAATTTTCACCATGTTTTGATACATACACTTTTAAAATTTTATTCATTAAAGAAGGTACTAAATCAAACCAAAATGATAACATTTGCAAAAGCTAGAAAATAAAAGGTACCAGAGTAACCCTCGATTAAATAAAAAAGGGTTCAAGTAAAGACGCAGCTATACAAATGTGTTTCCTTCTTTCTAGAGGAAAGGGTTTAGATGGCGAGCTGTAAATTACCAAGAGGGTATTTTGATTAAATTTTTTATTGCAGCTTCGTCGTACCGAATGTCCGTACGTAAAGAGCAGCGAGAAAAAGTAAGGAGCTAGAGAACCTCTTGAGTGATTTAATGACCAGCCGAGAACAAGTTAAATTTCGTTTTTATTTACGTAAGTGCTAAAATGGAAATTATAACCATACAACTTAGTCTAGTGCTTAAGACGTTTATATTCAACATGAATGAACACTAATTTAACAATCGAATCAAAAATTAATTGTAATACATTTGAACATTTTAGTTTACAAAATATAAACTACGTTAATTACAAACACCCTAGTCGATATGGCCTCTAAATTACTTTTTTAGGTCACAAAATCTAATTTCAATTCATCTATTTTCAATTATTATTCATAATTTATTTAAATTGTTATCGTCGATATTAAAAAAAGTAATAATAATATTTCATGTAATGTCGATTGCTTCAAAAATTTTGTATAAACAATTAGTCATGCCAAAAACGTTATCAAACTTTACCACACCTGCAAGTAGAACGAGCTCAACAAGTGTTTTGGCGGGAAATTCTAAACTAGCGAATACAGTCCTACAATGTGGGGGTGTCGTGAGGGGGCTATCGTTGTATGTATTTTCCCTTCCGTCATTCCCTCTGTGCATGCTAAGGGAGCTTGTGCGCCGTCGCGTCGCCAATAGAGCAAAGGTGTCGTCTCCGCCTCCTCACCTACTTGATACTCCCTCCCTATTAATTCGAAGTTTTAATGTAAAAATGATGAAAAAACATTTTTTAGAACATGAATGATTTATACATGTAATGAAATTTAGCTCCGTTGAAACCTCTCAATTGACATAATTCCAGCAAGTATTATTCTAAATTTTCATCAATATAAGACATACATTTGTGATATAAAAAATGGAAACCTAAATTAAAAAACCATAGCCATCGGAAATTGCGACATTCGAGCAAAGTCAAACGTTAGAGCTCGAAACGATGCTTGCGAGTGGCTTCGCGCAACTGCATACGTTGCTAGAGCTGCTCGGCCGAGGGCTCGTAAGAGGATCGCGAGTGTAGTGGTGGGTGGTGCAGCAGTCACGTGGGCAGCGCTCGCTGCCGTTCCGAGAGCCCGAGTGCGTGTGTGCATCGGCGGAGTGCAGAAACGCGGCAGGCCCCGCCTCCGCGATATTCGCGGCTGTGCTCGACAGTTCGCGTCATTCATGGCCGAGCCAAAGGCCTCGCGCGCGCGCGTACATACACACTCACACGCATACCGCCTCGCGCTTGCAGCAGCGTGCCACGGAGCGTGTTCTCCTCTATCTCCGTCGCCGCTCAAGTCGACGTTGTCTCTCTTTCTTCTTCTTTCCTCCCTACGTGCGATCCGTCTGTGTATTCCCTAAGTGTGGGTTAGTGCGTAAGTCTGCAAAGAGTTGCTCTCCTTTCGTCGCGTAGTCGTTCTGTCTGCTCTATCTGATCACATGTGAGAGTATTTCGTTATTGCTATGCAGCAACTCGATCATTCGTGTTAATAATTCAGTGAAACGTTTGTGGTGAGGCATCATTGCCAAATAGTGCGATAATGGTTTAATTTTGACGATGAAAAATTTTACCAGAAAATATTCATATTCAAACGTAACTTGTGGGGGAAAGAGTGAATTTTACAGCGCGTGAACTTGTGAAAAGTAGTATCGTAAGTCAATAAAACCTTACCTGGCTAATCGTGAGTGACGTGATAAAATAATATAACATCTCAAATTAGTTGATATTTTAAAAATCCCAACAGCCTTAGGTTTGTAGGTGCGGTGTGTTGCATGTAGTTCACCTTTGTTATTCCAACAGTGTTTTGATAAAAGTGCGCGTTAAGTATACAATAACCTGGATACATACGTGTAAATTAACGATGCAGTTACGAACATAGTGCAAACAACTCCTACCAATGTAAATGTATACATCTGCACTTTTTCGAAAATTTGAACTGCGACTTTGCCAATAGTAAACAGACCCTAGTACCAGAAGTAACGTTTCGAAGTGGAGGGCTGGCTAATGCACCGGAGCAGCTGCGCCGGGCCCGGCGGCTCTGGCAGCAGCAACACCAACATTGGTGGCTCGGTGAATGACTTCGAACATCACCGTCATCACCATCATCATCATCATCACGTCGCGACAGCTATGACGAATTCGGCGGCTTTTCACTGGGGGGCAGTTCTGGCCGGGGGTATGATGCAGCCACCATCGGGTGCTGAATATGCACCAGCGCCAGCTCATCACCCGGCCTCCGGCGCAGGTCATACCTCTATGCCCATAGATCTGCACGTCTCTCAAGCATTTCCTTATTACAGGTATAATTATTTATTTTTTACGACCATTTCAACTTTACTAGTAATATGTTACTACTACTATTTTCATAGAAGAATTTGCTAATTTCATTTCAAGCCCTTCGAAACATTTTTAATACGTAGGAAAGACAATAACTTAAATAAACGAATGCACCTGCAATCTGAGCTCTCAATTTTTCAATTTGCTCAATATACGTTGCTTACACTGCATAATCTGCCACTCTCTGACAAACAACAGTTAAGTCAATCTTATTCAATAAAAAACCTATCAATTACTCGAGACTTTTATGATTGCTGAGTTGAGCATTATCACGAAGCGAATACCATTGAATAATTTGTTCATTACTAAATTTGTAAGTACTTTTGATAGATCTAATATTTCACTTGTTCTCAAATTTCTGTGCATAAGTGAACATAATCAAGATCTAATACTAGTACAAACTATAGAGGTACTGCCACAATCAGAAGATCAAATTCGATTGAGTGTAGTTATAAAATTTTTGTGCATTTTGATATGATTCAATTTTTTGCACCTTTGCAGCCATTTAAATCAAATTGAAAAAAAATTAAAAAAATTAGAGTAGGATGAATGAATCTAATCAAGCAAAGAGCATTAATTGGAAAATCAAAAATGTATCAAACCTTCTATTACTTCATCTTATCACGAAGAATATACAAGACGTCTCAAACATTAGTATGAGAGTTTATTGAATAAATCGTAATTGACGCTCTATTTTTAGATGTTAGCCGCACACGCTTCTTCGACTCGTCCGGTTATTTTGCGATTACCTCTTCTGGGTGCTTCCTGTATGCATGCTTTCTTTTCACTACTCGTGCATACAATATCTTCAACATTATTAATACTTTATTATTTCTAAATGAAATAGAGCACTTGGTAGGAGAATTTTTTTAACAATTTCATTTTTAAACTGGTAATGGCGTCGATCAACTAATATATAAAAAATTACAATTAAAATAATGACTTTGCACGAAAGCAGATACATGACTTCCGTGAGCAATTTCTATCGCGTCACAATCTATCACATCTTTCTCGACACATGTTTCAAGCTCATATCATACATATAAACATACGAAAGAGGTGGGCAGCAGAGAAAAAGTAAAAATATACCTCGGTGGCAATTGCATTGAAACGCTGCATGAGGCGAGATAACGAGGATCGCCACGAGCGACTTGGTCTCGCACTCACAGGCTTCGATCGATCAGCTGAGGTGTATCGTATAAATTGTGCTCGGAAGCCCATACATATATACATAAAATACACACTAGTAAACTCACACGGAGGAGAGCGTGAAAAGAATTACGATTTCTAGTTCATTGCAGATTATTAGCATTACACTATCAATTATGTTGCGAGCGAGACTCAAGTGATTATTTTCTGTATTCTCTTTCGGCGGCGGCATCTGTCCTTTATGTACTCGAGCCGCTGCATCGCGAGCTCTTCTTCCACGCGGCTATCTTGAGTTGGTATCTTTCTTTCTCGCGCGCTCTCTGCTCATATGTACCGCGAATTATCCGTCGGATAATCCAACGCGAAAAAGAAAAAGATGAATGAATTTAATGAAGCATGTAATGTAGGAATCAAATATTTTATAATTTAATTATATAAATAACTCATAGATACGTATGGAAATTGAAAATAATACAGAAATGTTCTTAATATTTACCATTAAAAAGATCATAAACAACACCACTATAATCAAAACTTACAATAATTAAAATAAAAGATTGATGTTGATGCAATCATATACCGTGTCGGATCCAATTAGTGTTAGTACATGGACAACTGCCGATATATCCAAATTAATATATCCAATCTGTAAGACTGTATTATTGTTATAAATTTTTTAGTTACTTCATTCCCAATATGCACTAAAAACAATCTTTCATTTGGAAAGATAGCATTTCTAGTTTATACATAATTCATAAGAGACGTCAATTGATAATTATAAATGAATAAAATCTGCAAGAAATTTAATAAAACATCAAGGTGCAAAAGCATTTCGTTGACAGTAGCATCAAAATATCATGTAGATTGCATAATTGGCTACTTGAACATTAAACTCTTCATTGTTTCTCTGACCCCGCGCGTATAATATGGACACTAAGAGGCAAGTCAATGGCCGTAGGGCTACTCCACAGCTAAACTTTATTCGATTTTTTTCGTCTCACTGAATTTATGGAGATCCAAAGAGCGAATAAAAGGAGGATATACCGAGTTCGACTGCATCATGCTTGTAATTTGAAAACCCTAATTTTAATGTTCATATTATACAATTAAGAAATGGATCCAATAAGAATATTACTCCTAATTATTATTATGATCAATTTATCAGAAATGAATTTTAAAAAAAAATTTGATTAAAAATTGTTCTAAGTATTTCATTGTTCACTTCATGTCATTTATTATAGAATTCAAATAAATAATTATAAAAAGTAGTTATAATGTTTCATCAATCGTAAACTCCAGTCCAAAACTCAAAAGTTCAATAGTTCACATAGGAATGAATTTACGAACACGTTAATTAAAAAGAGAATGTGAGAACATTGAGGGCAAGCGAATTCTTTAACGTATCAGGTTTTGTACGCGGTCGCACAATATTTAGATACGTATACGAAAAAGCCATAATCCTTTTTATGATTAGCCCTTATGCACTGGTGCCCTATAACAAGGACCATCATGTAGGAAGGAGAACGAGAAGGGAATATGGACCGGATAATTACCATTCGATCATTCTCCCTCGCAGAAAAAGAAATACAAGTGATCGCAGCAGCGGTAGTATTGGTGGCAGCGATATTAGACGTACCCCACGTTAAATTCAACCACAAGCACAGATCTTAGCTCATATCTTCTTCCTCTCCGTTGGTCGCCGTTCCTTCTACTCTTCCGTGCGACTTCCTCAGCCGTGGTGTGTGCGAAACAGCAGCGTCGATAGACTTTTTACATCCGTGATTTGGCTTGCACACATGTGTGTATGCACGGCGAAAGATATGTATGAAATAAGCGCGAACTCCGCGTGCATGTATACATATAGGTCCAGCTACAATCAGAATTGATTATAGCCTGCCGAAAGTCTGGCGCTCGCATTATACAGACTCGCCCGCGGGTCCCTCCTCTGTATATACGCTTCTCGATCCTCACCGCTCATTTCATCTCGTCTTCTTTTTGTTTCTTTTCTGCTGATGCTGATTCTGATGCTGCTGCTGCTGCCGCTGCATCTTTACCATCACTATACCTCGCGCTCAATACATACGCACACACTCAGACGATGCTTGGCCTATATAAAGGGCCTTGCTTAGTTGTTAGTTCTACGCGCCTGCCCGATCAACGTTGTGTTTCGGCTTTATTAGGCTCTAATGTTTATGGTAATAACGCAAGTACCAGCAAAACGAAATCAGCTACATTGGGACTACATTATTATTAAATAAATTGCATCGATTAAATTTTCGTAAAATTATTTTAATCTTCGCTATCTGTGTAAGTACTTGATTGGGCACGAGTTTCGATCCGTTTATAAGCTGCATCAAAATACAATTTTTATATTTTTATTACACTCGTTGCAAGTTCTGTGATTGGTTAAAGGGAAATAGTTTTACACAACAACTTTTACATATTGTAACACGTTCAGCTCTTCGATCCATACTAAAAAAAATTTACGCCTATGCTTGTTGAGTTGCAAGAACAAGTTGGCACTTTCAACCTTTTTTCGCAACGAAGACAGAAAGATTGCGAGGAAAAACGGGCGGTCCGTTCGAGCCGAAATTCATGCCCGCACGTGCCAAAAAGTACAAAAAAGCAAGGAGAGCAATCTTGGCGAGCACGAAGCTTCGCGAAAAATTGCGTGCCGCACATTTACGCGTCACAGACAGGCTGCAGCAGGTAAGCGTGGGGTGCGCGCGGAGTCGCGCGCAAATTACGTATAAAGTATATTATAGCGGAGAAATTTTGAAGCTGTTAAACGTTCCGTAAATCATCGTTTCTTTTAGCTGGGACACGAATACAAGCACACGCACCGAAAAATCACCGCGCGCGCACGCACGGCTTTGATGAACGCCTTGATGCCAATGCGCTGTTTTTCCTCGTCACACCGCGGATCGTTCATGTTCGCCTTTAAGTCATTCGCCGCTTTTTTTTCTATCGCTACTTGCCAAAGTTTGCTTGCCACCGATTTCTGTACAAGTATTCTCAAACGATACGATTTTGTAGCAGCGTCGTAAGTCTTCCACTGATCTCTCAGGCATTCCATTCGTCTGCTTCGATGCTTAATGTTGGCTTCTTGCGATGAACCTTTGGTGGGCTTGTTAGCGCTGAGTTTTTTCTCAATGGAAATATGTATTTGTATTACATATTCGTTACTTCGTCGAAGTGATTTATGTTTTAACTTTCATAGATTTGAAAAAATTTTGTAGGGTAGAATAATGTTTAGCATACAAAAAGATTGCATCAGTCCAAGCTTGTCTTACACATATCTCTTAAAATTGCAGTAATCGTTTTGTAAGAAATCAGGAAAAGATCGATCTTAGCAATACTAATCTTAATATTTTTTAATATTAAAAATAAATAATTGTGTGAAAAACGTGTCTATAATACGATTACAAGAAAACTGCGTCATTTATCTAGACAGATGCATTTTAATAAATTTATTTATAAAATTTCATGATCGATGCCGAACAAGCAATTGAAAATAAAGAAAAAGTTTTTACTTTAATTTTTTCAACCACTCACGTAGCACAAGCTACGAATCGTAAATGAGTCAAGTACTACGAACAAAAAAGTCAAACTCTTGAGCATCGAAGAACTTGACCAATATCTATCAAGTTAAAATTTTTCCTGCGGATGAGAATATGCGAGGCGGCAAATCAAATTGCATCGTATCCCGGCGGCGTTCGAGTGCGAAAAATAATAGAACATCAAGGTATCGTAATGCAGAGATCGGTAATTTATTATCCACGGTGGTGGTGGTTGTTGCGGCCGCGATAATCTA